CCTGTAAAAAAAAAGAAAAAAAAGAAAAAAGAAAAAGACCATGTGGAAACACTTAGATTGATAGAAATGAGTTAATCGTTAAGACATCTATCCAATAAGAATCTCTAGCCAATGGCCACCAGTTTCATAGCTAATACAATGTCTCTCTGTGTTATTTGGGGCTGATGCGGCTCTGGGACCAGGATGGCAGGACACTACTTGTAACAAGTAAATGCTAAAACATCAGAGACATAAAGGAGCCAGCTACTAGAGAGAGACTTCTTACGTCTAGGAAATTCTTGAACCAAATTGACAATCATGTCTTTAGCAATCCTCAGATTGAATGCTATCTCTATCAGACCTCAGACTGAATACAATGCTCCTGTCTCCTCCTGTCTTATATTTCAGTCTCTACCCAGCCATATCACTCTTATCTCCACCTCCCTAGTGCTGGGACTACAGGCAGGTGACTTCTAAGTATTGGGTTTAAAGCTTTAAGCCATCATGTCCTGGTTTTGTTTCTCTTTTAGACTGGATCAATTTGGTGTAGCCCAGGGTGGCCTTGAACTTACAGAGATCCTCCTACCTCTGCCTCCAACATCCTGGGTTTAATGTATGTGCCACCACAGCCTGGCCTCTTTGGCTAACTAGTGGCTAGCTCTCTACTCTGATCTTTAGGTAAGCTTTATCTGTCAAAGCACAAAGTATCACCAGGTGCTACTTATTCAATGCAATGAACTCTTAAAAAGGAGTAAGTGATGGACAAATGCCAGAACATCGTACTTTTACTGTCATCTATAGTCTGTAGCACGCGTACCAAGCCCACACACATGCAAACACTAATAGTAAAAAAAAAAAAAAAAAAAAAAAAAAAAAGGAATGAATTTTGAATAATAGTTACATTACTGATTCTCTAGGCTCAGCAGCTATCAACTGCCTATACCTCCTCATATAGGGTTGGATAAAATTGTCAAAAAATATTTCAAAGCAATGCAAAATCATTTCATAAGCATCCAAATAATTTTCACTTATTTGTATTTAATTATAGTAGCATTATTATGAATTTATGTAAGCTATAGAGTATACAAAGTAAGATGAAAGCTATTTTGAATATTTGGATTGAATATGTGCCCTCAATACAACTTCATCAGTACTTTCAAATTACATTTATTTAAGGGTCTATGTTTAAACATTTGCTTCAAAGTGTAAAAGCTCTACTAAATATTGACAAGATACTTGTGAGTTTCTCATTTCCAAAGTGTCAGCAAGAATTTTTTTTTCCATCAACAGTATTTAATTGTACCCCATATTGTGTAAAATATATACCAAATGTGTGACTCTGCAATATTTCAGATTCCAGAATTCTGCTCAGTCTCACAATGGTCTTTACTTAAATGTTATTATAAAGTCAGTACACAAGTTGTCTCAGATAGACTTAGTCCAGTGGTAAATGGATGAGTCTATTTTATTTTATTTTTGATATATGTGCTCATCTATTCCAGACTGGCCTTGAACCCATTATATAGCTAACAATAGTCTCAAACTTATGATTGTACTGCCTGCCTTAGCTAACTTTCTATGTGGTAAAACACCAGGACTAAAGCATCTTTAGGTGGGAAGGGTTTATTTCCGCTTAAAGTCTGTCATCCACACCAGTCAGGGCAGAATCTAAAGCAGAATCCTAGAAGCAGAACATGCAGAGACTATGAGCTAACCCACTTGCTTCTCGAGGCTTGCTCAGTCTGCTTTCTTATACAGCCCAGGGACATCTACCCAAGGATGGCACCACCCACAATGGGCTGGGCCCTTCCATATCAACTAGAAAGTGAACCACAGACATTCCCACTGGCCAGTCTGATGAGAGATTCGTCAGCTGAGGTCCCCACCTCCTAAATGACATTAGTTCACATCAAGTTGACTTAACTCGTCATTCAAGTGCCTCACCTCTAACATCGTACATGTAATCCTTTGCGAAATAGTCTAATATTCCTGATGGTGTGATAAAACACTTTTACTAAAATCAGCTTAGGTTAGCGTAAGGTTTTATTTGTCTTATATGTTATGTTACAGTCTGCCACTTCAGGAACAGAAAGGCAGGACCCTCACATTACATCCACAGTCAAGAGCAGAGAGGAGCAGATATATCACTGCTTCGTTGGTAGCCCCTTGCCATCTAGCTTTTCTCCACTCACACAGTTCATGTCTGCCTAAGGAACAGCCCACTACACTTTGAGTCTTTATATACCAATTAACAATTAAAACAATCCACCACAAACATGTCCCTGGTCTCTTTTATATAGACAGTTCTTTGGTTAGTGCTCTCCTATGCTCTATGCAATTTTGGGACACCAAGAATGGCTTTGTGAAGACTGGAAATTACCACCTGAATTACACCACCCTGGTCCTTGTATTAATTTTTTTTCTTTATTACTTCTTTACCATGTTTTATCTCTGCCATCTCATTATATGTATGCCACAACCATGCATTAGTAGCTCATATTTTCTTAGATTTATCTCCCATCTAAACTTTGAGTTTTGACAATTAAGATGGCTTCCATTTCCTGCATAAAAGCTGTTGTGTGTGCAGCTATTTACCATTTTAATTTTAATACACAATTACTAAGCTGACTTCACACTTCTCCAAAGGGACCAATCAAAATAGTTCATTTCTTCTAGCTACATGGAAATCTACATTTAAATAAAATTTTTTCATGTTTGTCTATGAGAAATGTGTACTCTGGAGATCAAAGGTATTGCTACACAGCATATTAAAACATTATATAATATGTATGTATGTATGAGTTGTGTATATATATAAACACATATATACACAAATATATATATATGTGTGTATATATACATATATATATATATATATATATATATATATCATATTAATTGTGAACATCTTCAATTCTGGAGTTAATGGCCAGTATGCTTTAGGTGTGATTCCTGATATATATATTTGATTTTGACTTTAGTACTCTACAGCAGGGAAAGATGGGGAAAAATATGTTTAAGGAACCATTATTTTCTACTAATTTTTAATATGCTCACATCATTTATTTTGATAGTGTGCATCTATCTAATGAAATAGCTGGTTATTGCAGTTAATGAAGCCTACGAACAGAAGCCTTACCTATAACCAATGGCTGTCCTAAGGTTTATGTTCAGCTAAAGCTGAGATCATGCTTAGACATGAGTTGTCAATGTTCTATATTATGTTGAAATGTTACAGATTGTACTGCAAGCAATTCTTGTTTGTTGAAAGTTACACAATAAGTGAGTTTTGATACAAGGGCCGGGGATGTATTGAAGGCATCATTCATGACGGGAAAGTGTTCTGCCACTGAGCTACCCTCTCAACCCTGAAGCTTCCTCATTCTGTTTATTTCCTTGCTTTTGCTAATTAAACAGCAATTTATGTACTAAAATGGAAATAAATAGCCAAATAATTAAGTATATAATACTTAAATTCCAGCTACTGGAAAACAGGCCTATGAATAAATTTGGCTAACACTGGGCACCAGAGTGTCATGGCACAGAGCACAAACTTCCATTTGTCCAGATGAAATTCTGACAACTGACTTGTGTTTCTCTAGTGGTGCTTCCTTCAAATATAAAATAATACACTGAGAACATGATGTCCTCAGAAGATGGTTGGGGTTTCTCATGTCTTTTATTTTTTGATTTGTGTCAATTCTAATCTTTGGTACCTTTCTGTATTATTAAATGGTTGAATTAATTAATACACCAGTGTATCTGAAGCAGTTATTCTCGAGTTTTAGTCCAATATCTCATCTTCATCCTCCTGGTCCTCATTTTTATTTCCTTTTCCACCCTTTTGGCACACAATACTACTGGTTTGTTAGAGGCACAATGAGCAGAGAATATAATACAAATGGATAGTTATAAATTCCTTGACAACGTGAATGTGTACCTGCTGTCAATCATTTCAACAATAATTCAATCATGGATTCTTCTTTCTTGATGATTTAAGTATCATCAAACTTTTTGAATGAAATTTTTTGAAATGAAACATACCTAAGGTGTGTATATGGTCTTTAGAATCTTTAGGCAAGAGTAAACCTAAACAGAATATTTTTGCAGAAATAAATATTGGTTTCTGATGTATTGTTTTTATAAATGAAATGATCATACATTTCAAGGTTTTGAAATAGTTTCGTATAAACAGCAGTTGGAGAACTAAAGAATCTGAAGTCTATGATTCCCCCCACTAAGTTTTTTAAAAGTTTTAAGATTTGGAGAAATAAATAATCTCCAAATCTAAACTATTGAGAAAAACTAGCTTCTTTTTCTTTTGACTAAATATTACAATTACTACATATGTAGTATTATTGATTTTGATTTGTGAGATGTAATCTCATATTTTGGGGTGTGACATGCAGCTTAAAAACTACTTCAATAATCTTATTAATTAAAACCCTTTAAAATAATGGCATTTCAATTACAAACAAAAAAATTTAAAAAGAGAGAGAGAGAGAGAGAGAGAGAGAGAGAGAGAGAGAGAGAGATGCAACATTAGCACCAAATTTTAAGCTTCATTATAAAGCATTAGCTCCGGGGGAACGAAATAATGAGGCCTGAAATCTTGAGTCAAACATAAGGCTTTTTATTTATTTTTTAAAGAATGAGAAATAAAAATAAACACATTCTTTAGGGAAGCGTTTTGTGTTAGCATTTTAAAATGTAATTAGTGTCCAATTTCTCCCAACAACAGTCTTAAAATGACAGGAAGAAACCGTCCTGCAGTTAGCCTGCTTGTCATTTCAATGTGTGTGTGTGAGTGTGTGTGTGTGTGTGTGTGTGTGTGTGTGAGTGTGTGTGTGTGTGTGTGTGTACAGCACAGTACACTGCTGTGAAGGAAAATATTCTGACACTGTATTATTCATCTTCCTTTCACAATAAAGTACATTATCGAACATTTAAAGCCACATGCGATTATTTCCATCAAAATGCATGTGTTCTCTATTCTTTACAAAGCAGTGGAGAGACTGTTTGCAGAAATAGGAGGAGTTGAACAGTCCCAAGGTGGAGCTGTCTCCTGTGTTATATGACACTGGCAGAGTAAAGCACTTCTGATGGGGAAGGGCTTAAAGGCTGAGTCAAAAGCCAAGAAGTCTCTCTATTTACGCCTACCTCCCAGTCCTTGGCAATCTGACTAATAACAAACTGAGCTAACTAGAAAGACTAGAAGGGGAGGAACTGAGCATTGCCGCAGTCTGGATCTCCAACCAAAGAAAGCAAGAGTGAGCACCCCCTCCAGCTCTGCAAAACATCTTGTTTATTTACCGTGATCAGCAGCTTTTCAGTGGTTAACTATATGCAAGGCAAAGTCAGCATAGCTGTGAAGTATGCCGTGAATATTAATTGGGAGAAGAAGGACTACGGTTTCAGGATGCTCCAGTGTGTTCTCTGCCTGCAACACTTCCAGAGAGAATAAGTGCTCAGTGTTTTGTCTTTGACCAGATGTTTTAACTTTCTGAAGCTTCGGGACTTGACGAAAAGCGATCTTTGAGGAGTAAGTGCACTGTGCTTGGTGTTTCCTTTTTTAATAAACGAACTGATTGACTTTGGACACGTCTTCCAACTGAGCATTCTAGACAGTGCCAGGAAGTGTCTGCTTAACAGGTAAGAGGAATGTCTCCAGCCTCTCCTTATATTGATATTTGCATTATCATGAAATGCGTCTCTCTCTCTCTCTCTCTCTCTCTCTCTCTCTCTCTCTCTCTCTCTCTCTCTCTCTCTCTCTCTCTCTCTCTCTCTCTTTTTTCTTAAAGGATACTCAGTTTCATTTTTGTTCAGTGGCCAAGCCAGCACTGTAGCAAATGCCTGTTCTCCTGGGCAACGGGCATTTAGTTCAACAGCTGGGTAGGAATGAGCAGATGTCATAATATACCATTATTTTGTTTAAAACATGTGGTTTGTGATTAGAAACTAAAAGTATGTGCTTCCTGTAGAAAGATTAAATGCTACGGTCGAATTTCAAGTATGGGACCAATATTAGACGATGCTTTGAACTTTGCACGATACTTTTATAAGGTTCTGTCATGGAAATATGCATTCTTTGATAATATCCACATGGAGTTGTGGCTATTTTAAGATTATGGTAGATATGTGAACTAGAAATTCATTCTTGAAAACTGTACATTTCTGAAATGATGATCAGTCCTTCCATGCATATTTTTAATAGCATAAGTTGTTTTTAAGATAAAAATAAGCTGTAACCATCTGGAAAATATTTACTGTGTTCCAAGGATGCTGCAGTTGATGAAATAAATCAAAGTCCTTGTTAGTAATTTATGAATTACTTAGACTTTTTGTGAGCCAAGGCACAAGCTGTAGGCTTCAAAACAAGCTTCTTAGTTGTGAGCTGAGCACTCGGGATTGTTTAAAATCAGTCTGTCTCCCTGTGGAAATGTAAAACCTCCTAACTTTGCCTTGACACGCAAATGCTTTTGATTGCTTAGTTCCTTCAGTTGCCTTTTTGCCTTCCAGAAACTTTGAACCATAAGTTTCCAAGGAAACAATATATTTTTAGGATTCACTGACTATGGTCAGTCTGTGACAAAATCTGGGATATTTTCTCTGACTGCAAATTTTATTTTAATCAAAGTGAGTATTCATATTTTTATCTACAAAACTGAAAGCATGTATCACTTTGTAGTGTTCAATAGTTGTGAAATATGGTCTTTGTCTTTTAATTTCATTCATCTACTTGTGGTCATATATTTAAAGAAAGGAAAAAGTTTTTATGTATTTAGTATTATGTGTGTTTGCCACTGCAGCTATTTCAAAGTGAGTCTGTCTGAAATTACTGATTGAGACCTATGCTGTAATTTTGTGGGAACTGAGAAACAAGCTCTTCTCCTATTCTATCATTTTAAGGCAACCTAGGAATATCCTGAAACATATGCAAAGGAGCACAGGTTATTTCAGAGCTCATTGTTTGAAAATGCTTGCCTTCTTAAAGGCATAATTATGTGATGGGTGGTGGCATTCAGTTTCCTACTGCCTGCTTAGTATGTCCTGTGCAAGCCACTGGCCAGACCTTTACAGGAGGCATTTTTTTTTAACAGTACATTGAAACAAGTGTTAAAGATTGTTTTCCTTTTGCTTCTTAAAGTTTTATTTTATTCATGATGAAATTAAAAAGTAGCAGGAAGTATCTATCTCATGTCTAGGAATCCAAAATAAATTGTGTAACTTTTTTTTGAAATATGGGTATTCTTAAGCACATACATTTGACACTCAGAAGTGTGTATGAACTGCCTCAAAAAGAATAGTCAAAACTTAGTCATTTTTGTCATGCTTAGTTTTATTCTGTAATAAGATATACATCTTCCTGTATCTTTTAAAATGATTTATCAATAGTATGTATATATTCTGCAAAAAAACAGAGCAAGTTAAAACAGAGAGATGTTTGTATAACTAAGTTCAGATTACCTATAAGCATCCATGCACATACATACATACATACATACATACATATATATATTGCATTTCTTTATCCCCAGTGATCTACATTATTTCATCTCATATGTATATATGTATACACACACACATGTGTGTGTGTGTGTGTGTATTTTTCCCTTTTTCATTTAAATTTGAAACAAGGTTGATTTATGTGTCAATCCTAGTTCCCTAACCCTCCCATGCTCCCATGTGTGTGTGTGTTTGTGTGTGTGTGTGTGTTTGTGGAATAATAGTTATTTGTTGCATAGAAAAATAATACAAGCTATCAAGGTATATTCACATATTCCATTTTGGACGTGATCAAGTATCTAGTTAACCAGGAAGGAATTGTCTTATACATGAAAAGCGGTATCTTTAGTAGTTGAGATCAAAATTGCTAATATAGTATCATAAGTGTAATTTAGTATCATAAGTGTAATTTCCTAAATCTTGAACAATATAAAAGTTAAAGTTAACTAAACAGCTCTGTCTAAATAAACTATTAATCAAATACTAAAGAGAATATATAGATGCAGCAAGCTATTCACAGTTGCACAGTAGTTTTCTTTGTGTATGAAAATCTGTCAGATACATCTCCCTGCTTTTGCCCATTAAAAACCCTTGTTATTGAATTGTTGTTTTGCAGAGTTAGATCCAGGCATAGGACAACATGAAGCTGTGGATTCACCTCCTTTGTTCAGCTCTCCTTACCTGTCTATCTCTACAGTCCCAGTCAACAATGCCCTCAGTCAGAGGTTCTTGCGACACTCTTTGCAACTGTGAAGAGAAAGATGGCATAATGCTAATAAATTGTGAAGAAAGGGGCATCGATAAATTATCCCAAATAAGCGTGCCACCATCACGACCTTTCCAGTTAAGCTTATTAAATAATGGCTTGACAGTTCTTCACACCAATGCCTTTTCTGGCCTTGCCAATGCTCTCTCAATACACCTTGGATTTAATAACATTGCAGATATTGAGACTGGTGCATTTAACGGCCTTGGGCTTCTTAAGCAACTTCATATCAATCACAATTCTTTGGAAATTCTTAAAGAGGATACCTTCCATGGTTTGGAGAACCTGGAATTCTTGCAGGCTGATAATAATTTCATTACAGTTATTGAACCAAGTGCCTTCAGCAAGCTCAATCGGCTGAAAGTATTGATTTTAAATGACAATGCTATCGAGAGTCTTCCTCCAAACATATTTCGATTTGTTCCTTTAACCCATCTAGATCTTCGTGGAAATCAGTTGCAAACACTGCCTTATGTTGGTTTTTTGGAACACATTGGGCGGATCTTGGATCTCCAGTTGGAGGATAATAAGTGGGCCTGTAATTGTGAATTACTGCAGCTAAAAAACTGGTTAGAAAACATGCCTCCACAGTCCATAATTGGTGATGTTGTGTGCAACAGCCCTCCACTTTTCAAAGGGAGCATACTTAGTCGACTGAAAACGGAATCTATTTGTCCTACTCCACCCGTGTATGAAGAACATGAGGATCCATCAGGATCTTTGCTGGCCATAACATCTTCAACAAGTGACAGCCGCATATCAACCAAGAATACATCCATTTTAAAACAACCTACCAAAGCACCAGGTTTGATACCTTACCTTACAAAGCCATCCACTCAGCTTCCAGTACCATACTGTCCTATTCCTTGCAACTGCAAAGTCCTCTCGCCATCAGGACTTCTAATCCACTGTCAAGAGCGCAATATTGAAAGCTTATCAGATCTACAACCTCCTCCACAAAATCCCAGAAAGCTGATTCTTGCAGGCAATATTATTCATACCTTAGTGAAGACTGACCTGATGGAATACTTCACGTTGGAAATGCTTCACTTGGGAAACAATCGCATTGAAGTTCTTGAAGAAGGATCATTTATGAATCTAACAAGACTACAGAAGCTCTATCTCAATGGTAATCATCTAACCAAACTAAACAAAGGCATGTTCCTCGGTCTTCACAGCCTTGAGTATTTGTATCTCGAATACAATGCAGTAAAAGAAATACTACCAGGGACCTTCAACCCAATGCCTAAACTGAAAGTTCTTTATTTAAATAACAACCTCCTTCAAGTTTTACCACCACATATTTTTTTGGGTGTTCCTCTAACTAGAGTAAATCTTAAAACAAACCAATTCACCCATTTACCTGTAAGTAATATCTTAGATGACCTTGACTTACTGATCCAGATTGACCTTGAAGATAACCCCTGGGATTGCTCCTGTGACCTGGTTGGATTGCAACAATGGTTACACAAACTTGGCAAAAACACCCTGACAGATGATATCCTCTGTACTTCCCCAGGGCATCTTGACAAAAAGGAATTAAAAGCCCTCAACAGTGAACTTCTTTGCCCTGGTTTAGTGAACAATCCTTCCTTGCCAACTCAGACTAGCTACATTATGGTGACTTCTCCCACAGCATCAACAGCTACAGCTGGTACTATTTTAAGTTCTCTCACTGATGCAGTTCCTCTATCAGTTCTAATATTAGGACTTTTGATTGTGTTCATAACTATTGTATTCTGTGCTGCGGGGATTGTGGTTCTTGTGCTCCACCGTAGGAGAAGATATAAAAAGAAAAAAGGAGATGAGCAAATGAGAGACAACAGTCCTGTACATTTGCATTACAGCATGTATGGTCATAAAACAACTCATCATACAACTGAAAGGCCTTCTGCCTCTCTCTATGAGCAGCATATGGTGAGCCCCATGGTTCATGTCTACAGAAGTCCAACCTTTGGTCCAAAGCATTTGGAGGAAGGTGAAGAAAGGAATGATAAAGAAGGAAATGATGCAAAACACCTCCAGAGGAGCCTGCTAGAACGGGAAAATAATTCACCACTTACAGGTTCAAATATGAAATACAAAACTGCAGACCAATCAACAGATTTTTTATCCTTTCAGGATGCAAGCTCATTATATAGGAACATTTTGGAGAAAGAAAGGGAGCTTCAGCAACTGGGCATCACTGAGTACCTAAGAAAAAACATTGCTCAGCTCCAGCCAGATGTGGAAGTCAACTATCCTGGAGCCCACGAGGAACTGAAGTTAATGGAAACATTGATGTACTCACGACCGAGAAAGGTGTTGGTGGAACAGACTAAGAATGAATATTTTGAGCTCAAAGCTAACTTGCATGCTGAACCTGACTATTTAGAAGTCTTGGAGCAACAAACATAGATGGGTTATTTGTGGGCTTTTGCAGAAATGCTGTGCTTCTGTCTTAAGTCCAAACCTTGAGAACAAGTGCCTTACATGAGTGTCATCAATCAGAACTCAGCACAGCAGGAATCCTATGGGAGATAAGAGAAGAAAGTGAAACTCAGGGATCATGAAGGAAGCCATGGCATTATCTTTAGGCAATTTTGCCTGTTCCAAATAAGAAAAAAGTCTTTGCATATAACTGACACAAGGATTATAGTAGTATTGCTCCATATGTTTAAAAGTTTTTTATAGACTTCGTCTTAAACGCCTAAAGGGTTAACTATCTAATTAGCTCCAGTTTTCTTGAATACTTTATCCATGACTGAATAAATTTGGATTTCATCAGTTAAGAATATAGCTGTATATATAAATATATAGGGTATGTAAGAGATGTAGTCATAACCAATTCATGTGTCAGAAATTTGCATTGTCGAATACTCTAAATTTTCTCACCATAAATGCAAAGGGAACTGGAAATTAAATTTAAAAATGGCAATAGCAAATGAAAAATGTAAATTGTAATGATTTATAATTTTCAACAAAGGATGAATAAACAAATGCCACATCGTAGCTTTCTGAATTGAAACACAGATGACTAATAGTTCATGTGGGATGAATAAGCAAATGTTAGTTATCAGTACACATTTTGTGTGTATGTTTTTTCTGTAAAGCTGCTGTGAAACTAAGGTATGCCATTTGTGTTAAACATTCTATTCTTCTTGGAATATTTTTCAAATGCTACTGAGATTATACTGTATATATGATTAGAGCACTTAGTAAATTTACTTCTTTTCATAGTGTTAGTCATTTGTACAACTGGATGACAATGATAGAAATATGTCTTTTGTGGAAAGTAATTCAAAGATATGAAATGAATAGCAAAGATTATTTTATTTTTATTGATATACACTGATAGAGGCAATAGTTTAGTAGCAAAAGGCACTTCTACAGGTAAGTGTTCTGATTTGCCTCAGGAGAGGGACACTGTAGCTTTATTTACAATAAGGTATCACTAGATTTCTATGAACTATTTATTCTGTACAGTTTTGTATATTTTTGGTTCACAAAATAATTATTCTTGGGTGCCTTTTTAAGAAAATTGAAATTACTGCTCACTACAATAAAACTAAAATGAAAACTATTTTCAAATGTGTTTCAATATTTACTCTGAGCTGTGATTCAATCAGGTCATGATTCTAACCTAAATATATGGTCTGATTGTGTAAAAGGAGGGTTCAGTTTGTGTGTGCATATAAGTGCTTTGTCCAACAGAGAAAGAGACAGAGAGAGGGAGAGGGGGAGAGAGAGAGAGAGAGAGAGAGAGAATACCATATGAATGACACCTAACCAAACTTAAAATAAAAGTTTACTTATTTATTTCTATTCATAGTTTTCTCGTCTTATCTTGCATTAGGACAAAGGATCCATTAATGTAACTGAGTTCTTGAGTTCTGTATTTTTTAACACATTGCAATCCCAGGCTCTTGTTTAGAGAGAGAAACTATTTTGTATAAGGAAGTACTTTGTCCATTCATTTAACAATATAAATGAGCAATGTCTGGAAGTTCCACTAGGAATCCCATCTTTTGCTACTCACATTTTTTTCCTACTGTCAATTCTGTGAGTTCTGTGCCCAGCCTCACAGGTTTAAAACTAGATCTGAGTCTTACATGCAATCACATTCACTAGATTTGAATTGTAGATTGTTTTGTACAGGAATGGATTTAATACTTTAAAAGCTCATTGTAAATCACCATCTCTTCATTAATTTCCCAAAATTTGAAAGTCCAGTAAACTTTCATTTTTGTTTCAGAGTAACACTTCTAGTTAAATTGCATGATAATCAACAATTTCTCCAAGCAGTGAGTTTATCCATTACACATTGAATAAAAGGACAAAGCTTCTTTATCAGAACAGTAAATATGTTATCATATTTCTCCTACTCAGTTGAGTTTCTGCCAATATTTTTTCTGGTTTTGTTGTTTATTTTATATTCCATCCATATTTTTCCCTCCCACCCCCTCTCGACTCCTTCCACATCCTAATCCCCTCAGCCCTCCCTAAGTCTACTCCTTCTCACAAGTAAGGAATCCAATGAGCAGTAACCATAGTCTGTTCTGCCAATATTTTATCCCAATCATATTCATGGATGTATTAACAAGATGTAAAAATTTTCCATGCCTTGGAAACCTTGGGAGTGGCTCCAGGTGTGCAAGATTATGCATGCATGAAGAAAAACATGCGTTTGAGAATATACTTCCCTTTTCAGTATAGTAACATTTCGACACTGGTGATGTTAATAGTATTAATTTCTCAACTTATAATCTAAAAAAACAAAGTTATTTATGAAATCATGTAAATATAAGCCTCAAAGACATCACAAAGATTAAATACAGTAAACAGGTTCCCATACTTTTAATGGACATGGAAATCATTATAGCTTCCAAAGGGTACAATATTTTAAGTACTTAAAATGTCTTTCACAATGAATATTTATTTGTGTTTTATTTTGTTACTAATTATTGATCATTGATTAATATTTCCAATGATGCTTTATAATCTGTGATAATTTTTCAATTTTTTGATTACTTTTATTATATCCTCTTAGTCTTGTTAAAGAAAATGAAAACTGTTGCATTACTTGTTTAAGAAGTCAATTTGGTCTCTGGAACTAATAGAGTGACCCAGGGGTCACACTCTTATTTTACTGGTTCCATCTTTACCATGTAAGTTGTTCACCCAAAAGCACTTGATTTTATGAAGTTAACTATTTGTTTAAATCAGAAGTCATTCTGTTTTCATTTTAATCACCATATATATTGAGGCATGTACAGAAAATAAATTTCTGTAGTGTACTGTCAGGTATATTATCATTGCACATCAACATTTTTAATTCTATCTTAATACATTATACAAAAGCTAGATTAAGATTTATATGAAAAGTCACATTTCTCTGTAAATGACATTTAATTCCTTCCTTGTAAATTTAACCCTGTGTCTTCTTGCATATTTCCGTGGATCTCCATCATGGGACTGGATTTAAAAGAAAGAATTACATTAATGATGTTGCCTTCTTACAACAACCTCCTGGCAGGGAGAAATCCTCTTTCTCTGATGTCATGTTAAGTAAACTGAAGCATCATGTAAGCTGCCTTAAGCTGCCTTTATGCCTTGGCCAACTAATTCCAAAGGCTCAGGATTTGAAGCAGGATTGAATGTGTGACATATATAAACCCTGTTTTCATTAATGTGACACTTTTGAAGTAATGGCTTATGCCTTCATATATAAATACAGGACTTTCTCTCAACCTATACATTGATACCTATTAATTAAGATGTGTGTGTGTGTGTCTGTGTGTGTGTGTGTGTCTGTGTGTCTGTGTGTGTGTGTGTGATACCACATATATGTATATGTGGTATCAATTCATCTCCCAAATATATACATGATGAGATAATATAAAATTTCAATACAATACTTATTTGGAGCTGTACATAGATGGCATTATAGTCTTAATATACTTATAATTAAATTGAGTATTCTATGATTACTATCAGATGAATAATCAAATTCACTCTGAAAGAGGAGGAAACAAAAAATCTCCTGGCAATTTAGTCATGTATTATTTTTCTTCCAGAAAATATCCACAAAATTTTCAAGAGAGTTCTACTTCAACCAGATAGCCTTGTCCCTGGGAGACAAATAAAAAAGTCACCTGATAATCTAGGAATAGACAAATGATCAAAAACACAGAATTCATTATCTTCTGTTTATTTCTAACTATTCTAACAAGATATATTCTCGGGTTCTTCTGAAGATATGACTCAAATATAGTACCTAATTATTGTTTATAATAATTATAACATTAAATTATTTCTGTTCAATGACTAACCATTTATGGAAACAACAGCATTTTTCAGCCTTCTGGGTGCAATTACTTTCTGAATTTTGTATTTATGTTTATTGTGTACAGGGACATTCTTACAGGTTTATAACAGGGAAGACAGCTAGATGTGAACTCCTTTTCTAGTTGCTTTGAAAGCGTAATGAAATAGACAAATACTCTTCTGTTACTAAATGTCTTTAAGCAGATTAGTGAATGAAGAAACAACAAAATGCAAGCACACCCTGCTGTATTACTAACTTGATTTTTTAAAAATTTGACACATTTAAAATAGAGTACTTTTGTTTTAAATTTTAAAACATGGAAAGCAGGATCCTGACCTCATAGCATAATATTTTGCTCTTCATTTCCTTTTCTATTTTTTTTTTTAGCCAAGAGAAATTATCTAAGGCTTGATAAATTTTAAATGATTATCATATGTAAAAATCTCTGGGAAATTAAATATCACTTCATTAAGAAAGAATATACAAAACAATAATGTTCTTGTAATTATTTTATTGCAATGGACTTTACTAATGGCAAGAAAATCACCATTAGTGCTCACATGGGCTAATTAGTTTTGCATATTTTTCTTGATATTCTAAGGAAGCCAAATAAACAGAAGTCCATGTTAATTTCTATCAATCATAGGTTTATATAGAACCATATAATAAAAGAAGCAAGTTCACATTAAAGTGCAGCACATTACTGATTCTTGGGAAATCAGAGTGGTAGAAATGTTACATGATTCCATTCACTAAAATCTACTGACCAGGTATATGTGGCCCCTTTTCTGTGCATTCAAAAAACAAAGCTATGTATTATGCTACAGCAAACAAAAGATGGTAAAACATAGCACAATCCATACACATCTGGAACTCTTTGATGGTAGCTGTAAGGAAGTAAATAAGTTGACTTTGACCAATCCCTCCCAACCTTCCTAATGCTCTATCCCTTTCATACACTTCCATATGTTGTGGAGATCTCAACTATAACATTATTTTCATTGTTATTTCATAACTGTATTGTTGCCACAATTATTAATTGTAATAAAAATATCTGATATGCAGGATATCTGATGTGCAACTCAAATATATCCTGAACTACAGGTTGAAAAACCACTGCCATAGGCAACATGGCTGGTAAGAGAAAGGAATGCAGAGTGAGAGTCATGGTTTGCTTCTGGGGTTGACCCATTTCCTTTGTTGGATTCTTAGAGCATTGGTGCTTGTCAGCCCACCTGTGGTCTTTATATGGTATTTATGAGAGTATTTTAAGAGACACTGGAACCTCAGAAATGCAATCTTGATAGTTTGTT